GAATCCAGCTCTGCAGTCGGCCAGCTTGATCCTACGTCTAATAGATCCAACTGACACTTACTGGCCACGTCTTAGGGCCTCATTGCACAGAGGGGAGAAGCGGAGGCCTCTCCTTTCTGCTGGAGGCTCTGCGCTGCCTCTCAAGGACTAATCTCCCCAAGGCTGAGCCATCTTTCTCCACATGTGCATAAAACAACAAACTGAAGTGCAGCTGGGCACCGGGAGGCAACGGGCCTGCATACCCAGGGGCAACCAACGGAAGCAAACACTGCTTCTGTCTGGAGCAAGAGGATTAAAGAAGGTCAAATGCTAAAGAGCAAGAATAACACCATATTGTCAGGGACAGCTGGAAGGGCACACTCCAGTGGAAAGGTCAGAGCTGACTGGTGGTGGGGAAAGTCTGACTCTATTTCTCTAACGCAGTAATTACAGCAGGAAGGGCCCAGTGCTTCTATCACCACTCTTTCTTCTACGCAGTATTTTTAGTTTGACCAAACCCCACTTCTGTTTTGATTTGACTTATTTTGGGGTCCTGGCACATGTCTACATCACATCTCAATCCATATAATTACTTTCGAAGGGAAATTTAATTCATTCATATCTGATGCCCACAAAAGCTAAATTTCCATTGTTTTCCATTTTCAAAAGCGGGGGGTGTTTTAAAGCATCTGTCTTGGAGCCAAGAAACCAAATAGGGCCTCAGGTCAGAACTCACAAACATGAAAATATTCATCTTCTAAGAACTCTTGATTAACAATAGTTCTACTAATTTTTCAAATAAATATGAAAACTGCACAAATGCATAGCAATAACAAATATCCCCAAATCTGAAGAACAGCAGAGCGGGGGCGGGGGGAGGGGGGGGCCTTAACCCCACTCTGGGGCAGGGCTACTGCTGGCTCCCCGCCTGCTCAGACCCCCTCAGTGGTCAGGGAAGGTCCTCCAGTAGTCCAAAAAGGGAGAGGCGTGGAGAAAAGAAAAAAGAGGGAGGAAGAAAAATGCACGCACATCAAAATAATTTTTTAAAAAAAGGTCCCCTAAAAAATGAGCATTTAAACTGCTCATCAGACAGCTTCCTGACAAAGCCACTGGAGTGTATTCACAGGCATTTGCATAAACGCTGCCGGTGAGTTCACCATAGCTGCTCGCGCTAATGGTACATAAAGTAGTTCAGTCACTTCTCCCGGCATTCTGTGTCAGGATGATGAGCTCCGGCTCTTTGCCTTGTTGCATATTAGATCATTAGATAATAAAGCGTTAGCACATGCAAGCTGACAGGGTCTCTGCACTATAGCTTTGTGAGGGCACCGCGTTTTGCCACGAGGGAAAAAAACAGAGAAACTGATGCCACAATTGGCCTTCAACTCAAGTAAACACAGCCCGAAACTCAGGAGAACAGTGACGATACGAACACTCTGCAAAGCCCTTTCAAAATCCCCAGCACACAGGCCCAGGAATTTGCCCGAGTGATGGGAAGGCAGGACGGGCACGCAAGCCAGAGCTGTCCATTACTGAGGCGGGCTGGTGACAATTCAGGGTCCTTGGCCGTGTGCCTACGCTTGTTCAAAAATCGAATCCCTGACAGCAGTTACGTCCTGAGGCTGCCTCTCTCCCCAGCTGCACATCTTCCATAAAGCTACTGCTTAAGGAGGAAACCTCACTAGCTTAAACTCTCCCATAAATACCCAGCTGAAGAAAATCTCAGTATTTATGAATGAAGAAAAAAAAATAGGGGGAGAGCAATTACCATGAGCGACAGTGCACAGGGAGTCACCCTCTTTGGGTCACACAGGATTCTAGGGGATAAATTTGCCTTTGCCAACGCTCCTACTTGAAATACAGGGACAGTTATTTGAGCACAAAGGTTTGTGAGTCCGTGGGTCACGCAGGGAAATGGCATGAATGTCAAGCACGGTCTCTATTTCTCTTAGACGCAGGAAGATTGAGCCACGAAAGGGAGCTTTCCTCTGACTGTCTGACAAGCAGGATATAAATAGAGATGTGCCAAGTAGCTCAAAATAATTTGGGCTACCTGTAAATGAGATGGTAAAAAAGCCCAGAATGAGGGAAAAGGAAGTTTCTTACAGATCACCTGAGGGGTGAAAATACTTGGTGGTCTCACTATGCAGCAGCAGTTGGGAGGTAGGGGTATGGGAGTGGAGGGCTGGGGGGCGTGGTTCTGTCAGTCTTAAAAAGGACAGTTTCAAGTAGGATTTTTCAAGGGTGAGATAAAGTATTACCATACCCCAACTCAACGTGAATTAGCATCACCCATGAAAGAGCCCACAGTCACCCTTTGCTGAGAAGATATTTATGTGGTTATCAGCTTGAAGTGTCTCCATGAGTGGGTGGTTATTATGTCTGGTTGGCTGATTCATTCGACAGAGAAGCAGATTTCCATGTTGCTGTCCTTACTAAGAACCTGAAGGAGGTGTCTACCCTTTTATCCTTCTGGAGAGAAGGGAAGTGAGGCTTTGGACAGAGGGAGGCCCCCTAGCGGAAGGAGGAAGAACATACCCACCTCTCCGATGATGATCAACCATTAATAAATAGTGAGACATTATCATGCTCTGGAATAATAAGCTAATGGTCATTTGTGGACCAGTAAACTGGAGCAGAGGCATAAACTGTTGTCCTTAGAACTTAGACTAATAGGACATCGCAGCAGAAATACTAATACTTACACCTAGAGGTGAGAATATTTGCGCTGGGAGGAAGCTTAGAAAATGCAAATTGTCAGCCCAGGGCTATCTTCCTGCTCATTGAGTCCCGCCACACCCTGATGTCTTCAGGGTTTACAAATTTTGTAATTAGTTACCAACAATTAAAAACTAGGGGAGTTTTAATTCTTGCCAAAATGGAACACATGGCCCCACCAGGCTTTCACTCCCCACGGTGACAGCTGCCAGGGGCTGGGCGGCAGAGCGTGAACTCGCCCTGGTTCCGCAGCCTCCACCCAGCCCACTTCCCCAATGTGTGCGACCTGCCCTCAGCCAAGACACCCATCTTTCACCCCCTCCCTCACCCTGCAGATCGTCACCTTTGTTTTGCCAATAAGAAGATTAAGGATCCCAGAAGGTAAATTGACTTGTCCAAGGTCACACAAAGGGTGGAGGTAAAACTACAAACTGAATTTAGGTTTTCTGACTCTTTCCAATACCTCATGTTGCAAAATAATGTTCCTGACCTCCACGCCAAAAGGCATCCTTCCTACCAGGCTGTTTTTGCTGGTCTGTGGTGGGTTTCTCCAGGGGAGGGAGGACCGGCCTGGCGTCGTGCGCACTCTCACCCGCTTCCCAAGGCGGGGAATAAGAGCCGAGTGAGGTCTGCACCTGGAGCGCACTTCAACACCATGAGCCCATGACCGGCACATTTCAAAGGGACAGTCAAGAGTGTCCCCAGACAGGACAAGAACGCACTGGTCACAGTCCAAGTGGAGACATCAGCTTTTAAGCCAGCATTCTCCAACGTGTGCCAGTGAGCATTTCCCTATCTTTTCCTTCTTCCTTTTACCCAAACATCTCCAGTCATATAATGCCTTAAGTGACTCCAACGGTATTAAAAAGGCAATATTACTATAAAGTGAGGATCAGAATAATTCTAAGTACAGAAATGGAACTGTGAGTATAATCATGAGCAAGTGTTTCAAATGGCCTCCTGCAAAAAGTAATATCCATCCGTCTCAGTGCTAATGAAACCATAAAGCAGCAGCTTTTGAAAGATGATGGTTTACCTTAAAAGGACAGCAAAACTGGGTGTGGGGAAGAAGCCCTTCTAAGAGTGTTGCATCTGGCTAATTAATAAAAAGTGCAGTTTGTGTATTCCTTAAGCACAGAAAAAAAAAACAGACAAAAAAATGATGATAGTAGTGTGTTCATTGAATTGGGATGCTGGCAGGAAAGGGAATCTTCTGCCTCATGAACTATATATCACGGGCGGCTCAAGGCCCATGGAAAATCAGGCCATCAGGTGTTCGTTTGTATGGTAGCGTTCTAACAAGAATCCTGCTGACCTAACACACCAGAAGATGAGGTAGGAAAATGAGCTGAGAGTTTATTCGAGGAGACTGGAGAAAATCTAGCGTGGTGATTGGCATCCAGCAGACTCAGTTACTGTTTCTTGGATGGATGGATGGATGGATGGATGGATGAAAGATGGGTATTGATGAATGGATGGGTGGATGGTAGGTAACATAATGGGTAGATGGACAGATGGACAGAGGGGTGGTGCATTGATAATGGGTGGATGGCCAGGTGGGAGTATGGACTCAGGTGTTACGTACACAAGTAGCTCTGAAAACATCCAGACACACACTCAAGTGGGCCATGGTTCCTTCGAATGGCATTCACTTTTCTTTACTCAAATTTTTATCCACTTTCCTCCCAGCCTCTCAAAGGCACAACTGATTAGCCAAAACTACAAGACAAATTTGGTGATTTCTCCCCACCAAAGTCTACCTACGGAAAGCAGGCTCTTCTGCCACGTGGTGTTGAGGGGAGGGGTCTGCATGGGGCAAGGGGAACATTTAGTTCAGGCTTCCTATTTGGAAAGTGTCTCCAACCTAGACTTTGGATTTTATCCCCAAATGAAGTCAAATATGTAGTCGCAGAGATACACCAAAAGGAGTGTAAGGAGAATGGAGTCCATTATACAAACAAGTGAATTGTAAGGCTCAAAATGTATCCTGATTTTTGCTGCTCTGCTTTGGCCTTTGTTCGTCAGTGAAGGGGAAGCTTAACATAAAGCAGTGGTCCAGGTCTCCCTCTGTCTCTCACCAAAAAGGAAAGATACACCAGCCGTGCCCAGTGCAGAAAACTGTGCAACAAGAAAGGACGGGACTCAGGCACATCTCCCTGTGTGTAACTACTCAGCACCCATCTTCTCCAGCAGGGCGTCTGACATTTGAAATGGGGTAGAAAATGGGGTGGAGTTGGAAGAAAGAAACCAAACACATTCACAGTTAAAGTAGCAATGCCAACCAATGAAAATGATTCGCCTACCATGTTCCAGATAAGAGGGCGTACCTTCCGAGGGGTCAAGCCGCCGAGCCCTCCGCCCGTGCTTGGAGTTATTGTGGACGAACATGTTATCAGAGACCGCCAGGACATGGCCATCCACATTGACTGTCGTAGACACCACGACCTGGAGACGGAAGAGAGAAATGAATGAACATTTTAATGTAAAAGCATGGAGGGTAATAAACTCAAGTTAAATAAATAACAGCTGGGAGCTGAAGAAAATTGCATAGCTATTTCACATAATAACTGGTGCTTATGTTGTACAAGTCTAACAAGAGGAGCTATTGATGAGTGGGTCTTTGGCATGGAACGCTTTTGATGCAGTTTTAAGTAAAATTGCACAGTTTATAGTTATACAGCAGAAGGTACACTGTTAACCATAATTTTAACAAGAGGATCTTTATTAGCATATTTTTTTTACACAAGGGTGGTTGTGTTTCACCTAAATTACCCTTCAGTTTAGACACTGAAGCAGATATCACAGTTGATCATGCAAATAAAAAATCTTTTGAATCTTTAAAATATCCCCCTCTCCTCCCACCCCCAACGTGTCAGGGTTAAGAGGAGAGAGAAACGAGAAAGAGAGGCTTCCGTGGGAGCTGGGATGCGGCTTTCTCTCCTGTCTGTCTTCTTGGCAGTTTCTGGTACTTTTTCCTTCCCATGTGAGTTCCGTTCATCAACCAAAGCCCCCCTTGCCACCATCCCCACCACCACTGCTACTCCCCCAAAACCTCCCTGCTCCGTAAGGGTCTTAGATCTGTGTATCAAAGCCAAAAACAAAAAACAAAAAACTGGTGGCCCTGGTCCAAGGTACGATTCAGATACCCTGGCCGCCTCAAAAACTGACTCTGAACTCAGTTTGCCAGCAGGGACACGGCCAAGGTGTTTCTGCAGAATTTTGACTAAAACAATGAGAAGAAATGACCTACACTTCTCCTTATATTAAATGGGGGAGAGGATTAAAACTGAAACCCACAGAGATATGTTTATTCATGTGACCTCTTACAACCAAATATAATAATTGTCTGTAATTGCAGCTTCGGCTTCCACCTCATGCTTTGACACAGGGAAACAGCAATCAACCAGCTCCCGTTTAATCCACCTATTATGTTGACTAATTAACTTTGCTCGACAGTTTATTTCTTCCTCCATTATCAGCCCCTGTCAGCCGCAAGCACCCTGCAGCACAGGGGGGACCTCGGGCTCTTTGATTGATCACCGATAGATTGACATGCAGATTAATTTAATTAGAATCACCTCACTTGAGAAATGAAAGACAATGGCAAGAGGGCTAATAGATCTGCTCTCATAATGAGGCGAACCTCCAGAGCCAAGGCTGAGGATTTCTGATTTATTTTGCTCAATTCCCCAGTTGCTTGGAAAGACTCGCTCCTTAATTGTTCTTGGTTTTGAGAGGCAGTAGCCTCCGTAGAGGTGAAACGCTTCACAAGGATTGGCACATCCTGAGGCCCCAGTTTCTGAGGGAGCCTTTTCTCCGAGTGGGCCAAAGCAGGCAACAAAAATTCTAGAGCCTTGGGCAATGCCACAGTTTCGTCACCTGAGTTGGGCAGAGGGGAAACTGCTGGGTCTTGGCCTTGGCCTTGGCCTGCAGTCAGCCTTGCCTGACAAAGCGGCCCCCTTTGTGGTCCCCAACCCGACCAGTGCCTGCCAAACCCAGAAGTCCCAGTGTTCCCCGCTGTGACCTAAAAGTATCCTGACAAAATATGGCTGGTTTTCTGCCCACCCCACCCGCTTCCTTGCCCCCGCCTCAAAGATGGCAAGGAGCTGCAGGCTGTGAACACACAGCTCCTGGACAGAATCATGGGGTTGGGTTGATTTGACCGGCTGATTTTTTTTTCTTCCAGACCCTTGTTTCTGCCCACCCAAGGCTCCGATTCTCACACCAAGCCCCTAGGCCAGGGGTGTCAAACTCATTTTCACCGGGGGCCCCATCAGCCTCGTGGTTGCCTTCAAAGGGCCAAAAGTAATTTTAGGACCGTATAAATGTAACTACTCCTTAACAGTTAAGCAAGAACTCAGTGCTGCCACTGGGTAGAAACAAGGTGCCGGGCTGGATAAAACAAGGTGGAGGGCTGGATTCGGCCCGCGGGCCTCGTGTTTCCCACCTGTGCCCTAGGCTCTCTCAGACCCAGAGGCAGAGACCCAGGACCCAGGCCTACGGGTCATCCTGCCTCCCAGGATGACTGCATGGGTGGGGCTTCTAGGGGTCCCCTAAATCCTCCCTCAGGGTCCTCACCTTGACTTCCAGCAGCAGCTGGGCCATCCCCTGGTTTTATTTATTTATTTTTTCACTCTATCAAAACGCCAAGTCAACAACTAAGAGCACGATTCTTAGTCATTGTGAAACCCCAAATTCCAGCTAGGGCAAGTCAGATATGGGAGGAGGTAAGTCCCAAGGCTACGTGCGCAGAGTGGTGTTTTGCTTTCTTCATGATTGACCAACCAGATCCGACACAGCCCAAAGCTTGTGTGTGTGTATGTACACGTGTGTGTGTGTGTGTGTGTGTGTGTGTCTCATCAGTTGTATCCGCTTTAAAGGGAGAGAGAGAAGGAGAGAGAGGAGGAGGAGAGGGGAAGAAAATGGTCTCTTCTTTTATTTTCAAAGAATCTTATGTGCGGGAACAGAGTCCATATTATTTGCAACCACAGAAACTTGCTTTTCTTTTCAGTCGGGGAGATGACTTCGTGGGACATCTACAATTATATAACAGAGCTGGCTCTTTCAAAGAAATTGTGATTTACTACGAGACCACAACTGAGTGGTCACTGGAGTCGTTAGGGTAAGAAACTATAAAAGGAATCCAAACGGTAACTGTTTCCAGTGTCAGGAAATACAGAAAGTGGTTATTCTAGATGTCTGCCTTCAGAGTAAAAAAAAAAAAAGCAATAACAATTCATCACCACGCACCTGGAAGACAAAGCACTGCAGGCTGAAGGCTTAAAATATTCAGTATCATTTAGAGACATTTTCATCTAATTCTTACACTGAACTGAAATGACAAAAACTGTTAAGGGAGAAAATACTATACTTCTATGTCTAAAAAAGACTTCTAGGTCTTTTTTCTTGGAAAGAGAAGAAGCACCAAGACCACATATGTGATAAAAATCATTTCATTGCGAGACTAATACAAACTGGAGAAAGATCACACAGAGACTCATCATGCTTTTAATTTTAAGAAAATAAACACCAAGGACATTCCTCAAAAACTCATGACACAATACATTTTAACTTCCTTATCCCCAAAATAATTCCTCTCATTCCAATTTGCAAATGACCGGGATGTATTTAAGGAAAATATATGCTTCAAGTAACCCACAGAGCAAGTGGTAAATTTTTTTTAAAAAATCTAACTGCAAAATGCAAAAGGGCACCGAAATGTCCTTTAAAAAATAGGCCCGTGGTAGGAGGGAAAAGGGCCCTCACAGTTTAACACAAGATTAATGAGGCGCTGACATGTTCATGCAGGCAAAGGGACAGGCAGGCCTGCCAACTCTTCAACCTTCCCAAATTTTGTCAACAAAGCACAGCTTGATGTTGGGACAGATAAACATGGAAAATGATTTTACGTTTGCACTCGACCACCCCTTCCCTTCCCTCTCTACCCACTTCTTCATTCTCCTGCCCAGAGAGAGTCAGGAAGGGAATGTGAAGGACAAGTGTGTTTAGAATTTTAGGATATCTGTCAGGATCAAATCTTAAGTCTCTAGCATTGCATGGTCCCACACAGTAACCACACACAGGGCTATTTAAATTTAAACCATTTACGTAAAATTGAAAGTTCCACTGTTCCTGAGTCTCCACGGTCGCATTTCAAGGAGCGGGTAGTGACCTGTGGCTGGAGGGTACCACGCTGGACGGGGCAGATACAGAGCATGCCCGTCACTGCAGGGTGTTCTGTTGGGGCGGTGCGGCTGTAGAATCATTCTGAAACAGACTGTTCAAATGTATTCTCTAGGATGCCCAAGTTATGTCTCCTGGATTAAATACTAGTTTAAGTGCACATGTTTAGGGTCGGGTACATGTATACTTTTTTGGAATCAAGTTTCTACTTGGGACAAGGGCATGACTTTTTAATACAGCAATCCAGAGACGTGCTGATGAACACCCGGTGTGTTCCATGGAAACCTCCATCTGGTTCCACCCTCCAGGTAAAGGTGTTTGGTGTCCGGGAATAAAAAGGGCAGAAGAGAAGTCTGCAGCTCCCCCTGGACTTGGGGGATTTTACGCCGATATTTTCGATTTCTTGCCTCGTCTCAGTGGTTCAGAATCTTCTCTGCTACATCCTGGATCTAGATACTCCTAAAAGGTATTATTTTTACTATTTACCCTCCTCTATTTAGAATTGGGAAAAAAAATCGACACAAAATTTTTGATTCTTGATTCCCAGGTTCTCCTGGTTGATGTGATTTTAACCAGGTGAGCGTAACCTGTCTATGCCCCAGTGTCCCTGGGGCTCAGAGGGAAATAACAGTATACCCAACTCATAAGGGTACAGTGAGGTTGACATTTTTCCAAATGCCTAGAGCTGCTCCTGGTTCGCACTGAGCACTCAGCAAACACTGCGAACAGAACTTGCAGAGCTGTTGCTGGTAAGATGTTGGTGATGCTCAACAGAAGGTTCTAGAGGCGGTGGTGGGCTGACGGCCCGAAGCCTCCGGGTGACCATAAACAGCACCTGGCAGAAACTATTATTTAAAATAAAAAGATACTGAAATTATTTCTTCTGTGTCCACTGGTTTATCAGCCGGACAATGAAACCATCTGAAAGACCTCTGTGCTCACCACACATCGTTATATAATTTAGGCCTCCTGTGAACAGCAAATTTCACTGGTTTTTGTATTTGTGCTTTCTAGAACCCATCCACATCTTAGCCTGTTCTATTCCAGTCTTGAAACTCAATAAACTGTTACTGCTCTGAGAACAGTCTATAAATCAGCCATCTTATCAAGTCAGTCTAGTGTTCCCAATATTTCACAGGAAAGAGAGTTCCCTGGGAGTTTTGTTGCTGGTTAGCATTTCCCCGCCGTCTTCCTCGGGCTGTCCCTCTTCCCTCATATCAGGAGACCGTGTGGGTCCCAACTGCATTATCTGAGATCCGTGA